CTGGCGATACGCCTGCGCCCTGCAATGGATAGAAACTTGCAGTGACAAAATCACAGGCTTCTACTTAGACAGCTCCTTTCTCAGCGGAGGCCCCCCTCCCGAAGCGTGGCCGGTAACCATGGAGATCTCCATTTCTGAGCTGTTGGCCGCTGGGTGAGTCTTGCGGGGGGGAGGGCCCCCAAAACTCTGTTTTTTCCCCCCCCCAGCAAAAAAGTTTTGCGGAAGCTTTCGGGCGCTGCTGCAGAATTCTTCTCTGGCGTGGACTTTTAGCAAGAAAATATATATATATATAGCTCGTCGTTCACTTCAATGCATTGTCTCTTTGCTGTTTTTGGCAACCGCCGTCATCCACAGCCATTCGCTCCCTGCACCGACGATCCAGACTCTGCAATGACAGAGGCACGGAATTAAATGGATCTTTTGTCGGAACATGGATGCAGAAGGCTCATCAAAAGCAAAAGCAAAAAGAAAAATAGAGCTGCTTTAATTTCCTCCTGGAAACATCTAACCTGGGTTTCCAAACAGAAAACACCGTTTTAAAAAGTTGCAAGCCTAAGAACTCTTTCTTGGGAGAAAGCCCCGTTGAATAAAACGGGACTTACTTTTGAGTAGGACTTCCGCAGTGTCTTTACAAGGGCACTATGCAAGCAGAGACTGAGCTGTGCTGTGCTGGGGGACCAGTGTTCCCTCTAAGATGAGTGAGTGTGAGCTGGCTCACAGTTTTTCAGCCTCCGGCTCAAACATTTTTGTCTCGGCTCAGGAAGGAGGGCTCCAGAGCAAACAAATTGATGCGGCAGCCCAATCGCTCGCTCACCACTTTAATGCCAGTCCAAAATGGGTATTGAAAACAGATCAGCCAATATCACAATGCCCCTATATAAATCAATGGTGCGACCTCATTTGGAATACTGTGTGCAGTTCTGGTCACCACACCTTAAAAAGGATATTATAGCTTTGGAAAAAGTGCAGAAAAGGGCAACTCGAATGATAAAAGGGTTGGAACACTTTCCCTATGAGGAAAGGTTAAAGCGCTTAGGGCTCTTTAGCTTGGAGAAAAGACGACTGAGGGGTGACATGATCGAGGTTTATAAGATTATGCATGGGAAAGAGCAGGTAAAGAAAGAGGTACTTTTCTCCCTTTCTCACAATACAAGAACCCGTGGGCACTCCATGAAATTGCTGAGCGGTCGGGTTAGAACGGATAAAAGGAAGTACTTATTCACCCAAAGAGTGATTAACACATGGAATTCACTGCCACAGGAAGTGGTGGGTGCTACAAGCATGGACAGCTTCAAAAGGGAATTAGATAAGCATATGGAGCAGAGGTCCATCAGTGGCTATTAGCCACAAGGTATAGCTAGGGGCTCTGGGGCAAGTGATGCTCTGTCTTCTTGGTGCTTGGGGGGGGGGTCAACAGTGGGAGGGCTTCTAATGTCCTGGCCCCACTGGTGGACCTCCTGAGGGCACCTGGTATTTTTGGTCACTGTGTGACACAGAGTGTTGGACTGGATGGGCCATTGGCTGATCCAACATTGGCGTCTTGGCGTCTCTTATGTTCTTAATGCCGGTAGCTCACCGAGTAGAATTTCTGCTCACAAGTCTCCACCGCTTAGAGGGAGCATTGCTGGTGACAATCTGCCATTGATTGCCGATTTCTGGATATTTCACTTGGGCTTTTAAAAATTTTAATTGGGTAGTATTATTTTCAAGGCTTGTTGGTGCTGTGAGCACAGGATGAGGCAGGAGAGGGGGAAAATATTTGTAAACATAGAAACATGGCGCTGGAAGGGACCCTAAAGGGCATCTAGTCCAACCCTCTGCACAGTGCAGGAAAGTCACAGCTATCGCCTCCGCACCCCCAGTGACCCCTACTCTGTGTCCTGACCCCAAAATGGTGATCAGCATTACCCTGGGCATATCAAAAAGGGGCCATGAGAGAAATCGTTGAATAGAATGGAGAGAAATTATATAGAATATTTAATTCCCCCCCCCCAGTCTAATGTAGCACTTTTAATTCTTCAGCTGCTAAAAAAAGGGGGGAGATTGCTAATTGAACCAAAATTTCCCTGTGTATATTAGCTCTGCCAGATACTGGGGCACTCTATTAAGGACCGATGTAAGAGGAATTTCCAAAATATCCACCAAAGATGAAACAGAAGTCCATAAAACAGGCCATGTCTCTAGCAAACAGGGCAGTCAGGAGACTGCGCCATAAGAAGATGAGAGAAGCTAATGCTGGATCAGGCCAATGGCCTCTCCAGTCCAACACTCTGTGTCACACAGTGGCCAAAAATACCAGGGGCCACCAGGAGGTCCAGCAGTGGGGCCAGGACACCAGAAGCCCTCCCACTGTTGCCCCCCCAAGCACCAAGAATACAGAGCATCACCTGCCCCAGACTGAAAGTTCCCATCTATACCTTGTAGCTAATACCTAATAGCCACTGATGGACCTCTTCTCCATAGAAGAACATAAGAGAAGCCAATGTTGGATCAGGCCAGTGGCCCATCCAGTCCAACACTCTGTGTCACACAGTGGCCAGAAATACCAGGTACCCTCAGGAGGTCCAGCAGTGGGGCCAGGACACCAGAAGCCCTCCCACT